TTTTTTTTTTTTAACGTACAGGTGTCTGTGGACCAGACGGCCGTCCCGGGGTTGGACGGCACCAGCTTGGGGATAAGCACAGGCCAGTCCGCAGACAGAGGCAACAGCCAGACCTTCGGGAGCTCCCAGAACGCGGGGGAGCAGAGCTTCACCTCCGCGAACCCCAGTGACAGCAGGTGAGACTCCTCCTGGGCGGTGGGATGGTCCGCCCGCAGAGGCTGCGGAGGCTGGGCGGCCAGAGTCCCGACTCCCAGTCCGTTCTTACCAGACCTGTGCTGGGGCTGATGCCCTGCGCCCTGCCTTGCTCACAGGAGAGCTCAGAGGTCCCCGCGGAGGATCAGACATGCAGGGTGGGTTTCAGGGAGGGGGCTCTGAGCCAGTCAGTCCTGTTCCACGTGGCTCCCGTGGCAGAGGCCTCCCATGTGGTAGCGTGCAGTGGGTCTATGCCGCTGGAGGAAATGCACAGGTAGTGAATGGGTCCCCCTCTGTGGCCAGATAGGGCCACACTGTTCCCAATCCTGAGCATCCAGAGGGAACAGAAGCCGCTCGGACCTCATTTGCTTGGGGAAGTGGCCCACACCCCAGCTTGTTATACCGCTGGCAGATCAGAGGAACTTCTTTTTTATTTCCTTTGTTGCATAATTGCTCCCTAGCCAGCTGCCCAGGCTGTTCCTGCCGCCTTCCTGGGCTGATGGAGCAGCCCTGGGCTGCGTGGCCTGAGAAACTGCCTCTTGCACCCGTTCCCTGAGAGAGAAGGGCCCCGGGCAGCCTGCCTGGCCGGCGCTGTCGGAAGCACCCCGTTGCCTTCACGTCGCACATGCAGGGCCGGGCTTCCCATGTCTCACGCACGCAGCCCGTTCACTGTGGCCAGTGGAGGATCAGTTCAGAGGCGCAAGCAGGCCTGGGTGTGCCTTGTCTCTGTCGCCTCCCAGGCTCATCCCCATCGAGCCTGGCTTTGGCCGGGGAGGGTCGGAGGGGCTGCCTGGTTCCTAGGGACGGAGTGCATGTCCCTGCTTCCTCCTTGCTTGCGAGACCAGGGGCGCAGGTTTCTTCTGCTTTTGAAAGGAAAGAGGAACTGGGGGTGTGTAGGCTGGAGACAAGGAGACCAACATTGACAGAATCAGGACCAGTGAATGGAAATAGAACAGGTTCCATTTCGTGTCAAAGAACTTGCTAGCAGCTGGTACGCCACGGGGAGGTGGGCTTCCTCGCAGGAGCTGAGTTCTGCGCTCACACAGGTGGGACCGCCTCCTGTCCGAGCCTGGGAGTGGGGACTCGGGGTGTTGGGTTCAGTCCCCATTCAGCGTGGGTATGGGAGGCACCCCTTCTCCTCTCTAAAATCAACAAAACGTATTTTTAAAAAAATAAGCAGGTGTGGACATAAAATCACTTGGAATTTTTCTTGTTTTTTAATGTATACACTTTGGAAGTAGGAACCTCGGGTGGGACCGCCTCCTGTCCGAGCCTGAGAGTGGGGACTCGGGGTGCTGGGTTCAGTCCCCATTCAGTGTGGGTATGGGAGGCACCCCTTCTCCTCTCTCTAAAATCAACAAAACGTATTTTTTTAAAAATAAGCAAGTGTGGACATAAAATCACTTGGAATTCTTTTTGTTTTTTAATGTATACACTTTGGAAGTAGGAACCTCTCCCCCTTCCCATAAGATAACCCCAGGATGTAGCGATCCAGAATTTTCTGGGTCACCTTTAATGTCAGTGCTGTCCAAGGTCCCCGCTCTGTAAGAAGGACGGTTCTCAGGTCCCGGCTCTGGCCCTGCTGACCAGGCGCTCTGTGTCCCAGCTCTCAGCAGGTGCTGGCAAGCTCCTTGACGTCGGCCTCCACCCTGGCTGAGATCCTGGAAGCCATGAAGCACCCCTCGTAAGTGCTGGGCGCGTGTGTGAGCGCCGGGGCGGGAGGGTCCGCAGGCCCAAGCCGGGCCCTGCTCGGGCAGTGCAGTTCGGTGGGGTCCTACCTGACTTGGCTGCTCACTAGCTGTGAGACCTCGGGCGAGTCCCTTGACCTCTCTGGTCTCTGAGACGTACCTTGTTTGTAAAATGGGACAATACAAGTCCCAGGTTGGATGTAAGGATTAAATAGAATAGTTACGTAGCTCACCTCGTCTCGTACCTGACAAGTATATTCTCTAAATGTCAGGTCCTTTTTGCTTTCTCTTCTCCTTTTCCCCCTTTCACACCATTTTTTGTTCTGTCCTGGGGTTTCTCTGGGTCTAGAAATAGTGGAGAGCAGTTGCTCACGCCAGATAGTAAGCGCTTTAGCACGAGTCCCTTCTTCACCATCTTCTCTTTCCGCTGTTGCCATGGTGCGTATGCGCCCTGCTCCCTTCGCGCCGCGTTGGAACTCAGGACAGGCGTCCAGCTGCTCTCGGAACAAAAGGGCCTCTCGCCCTCCTGCTTCATCAGCGCGGAGGTGGTGCACTGGCTAGTGAACAACGTGGAGGGCGTCCAGACGCCGGCCATGGCCATCGACATCATGCAGGTGAGACAGCCCGGGCGGGGCCGCAGAACCGTCTGCTCGGGCCGGGGAAGCCAGAGCCCGTCTCTGAAGGGGCCGCCCTTTCCAGCAGCGAGGTCTGGAGGGGAGGTGAGGATCTGCTTTTTAATAAGTATGAGGACTGTCTGGAATCGAGGAAGGAGCTTGTCTTGCTTTGAAAGACACGACTTAAAAATCTGGCTGAGCCC